TGTTACATGCTACTTCATCTAGACTCGAACTCGATGTACCATTGGGATAACTAGATATGGGGGTGATTGGATATAAATTGAATAGTAACAAAATCAATCAAAACCTAAATTTAACTCAACTTTAACTCAACCTCAATATCTTCAATATTACTAATATAATTAAATAATATCAACCAATCATTCTTACACATCAAATCAACTTTAATTCACTATTCATCTACTCACATAATTTTAACTAACCATCACTTCCAATCATTTTTCTCATACTTTACATCAAATCAACTTTAATTATTTTATTTAAATATTATTTTAATATATCTACTAACAACTAACTATATCTCTTTTTTTAAAAATTAACTATAGTTAAAAACAAACCAAATAAAAACTAGTTGAATCCATAAACAATCACCCCCTAGACTTCAGACGTACTACAGATAACTGGAAAGGGTAGGCAAACAAGTTGTGATACTTATCAAGCTCAGCTCATAAACAGTATCCAACCAATAGTTTACAAAATAAACGTAAGAAAGAATATGGCCAGAAGTGTAGACCCCCATAATTCCACTATTTGTATCACAAGCATGTCGTTTTGGTGGTACCAATTATAATGTTCACCTGATAATTACCTTTATAATTAACAATAAACTAGAACACAAAAAGATGCAGATCAACAACTACTAGAATTTGGAGAAGACAAAAGTCACAAAAGCACCCTTCTGCTCGCCCAATGAAGACGGCAAAGCAAAGACTTAGACTTCATAAAATGCAGAAAGAGACATTTTGACCAATCGCTACTACTACTACTTCAGCATCTTCCCCTTTATTTCGCCACAACAAAACTGATGCACTCAACTCAGCCAATAATAAAATAAAACAAAAATTGTTAGCATTTATTTCAGCATGGGAAGATCAAGCGATTTGAGATTTTGGGGCGAAAAATTACTGAAAGACCATCACGATTACACAGATCCAGACGGTGATGGACTAAACTTTGATGTTCCAAAACATCTCCAAGACCAATTTGGAGATTTCTCTCCTCCATTTTGGCCACGAACAAAACCGAGTGACATGAGGCAAGAGAATTCCGCTTTGCTGCCAAACGGTAGAAAGGAGATGATGGACATGGTCAAGGACATGCCAGAATCTTCATATGAACTCTCACTGAAAGATATAGTTAATGGTCAACAAACCATGGACGAGGTACAAGTGAAGGAAGTGGTGGCAAAATCAAAGAAAATGAAGCACAAGATGGAAAGAAAAATTCCAGTGAGTAACAATTGTCAAATAAGCAGGACTGAGAGCATGGAGAGTGAGGTGTACCTTGTGAAGTTGTTTTTACCACTATCTCTGAGTTTCAGTAAGAAGACCAAGACAAGAAAAGACTCCAAAATTTGTTCAGGCCAGAGCCAAACATCCGAGGGATCCAGGAGACGAGCAAATAAAGACTGGTGGAAGATCATAGCTCTAGCTGTAAAGGATAACCAGATGGATACAAAAATTGACAAGAGAGCAAGTGGGAATGGTAGCAATATAACCAGGTATGCATTCACAGTCTTTACTAATAGCAGTGTAACTGTGAAGTAATAGTGGATGGAATTTAACATGCACAAAGTTGCAAAAAAAAAAAAAAATACCGAGTACAGTAACAACAAAATGAAGATTATAAATAGAGAGAGGACATCGATTTATGAATCTGTCAATTTGCAGCATGTACATACTCAAGAATGTGACCCTCAAGGCCTCAAATAAATATCATTTTAGATTTGTGGAAAGATTTGAGTTAATATGCGCACATTTTCAGCCCAACATATCCTTAGATATAAGCACTGAGCTCTAAGTTAATTAATTCTCATGTGGTGCATTTTTATTTTTTTAAATTGAAAGTAACATGATACCTTGATGGTCCTCCAGAGAGAAGAGAACCATTACCAAGACAGCAACGAGGGTGGAGCTTTTGTGGAAAAATATGACAATCGACAAGTCCAGAGAGGACCGTGCTTGAGAGGTTGCAAAACAAAGGCTGGAGTGCCAAAGCAACACGCATTGAAAACTGTGTTGTCCTATTTAATAAATTATAACAGTAGCTTGCAAACATAATGGTGTATCCTGTGAATGTAATTAAGTAATGAAGCCAGAATAGCAAACTGTAGGAAAAAAGATGTTCTTAGCTACAGTGTTTGTGATCAGACAGGTTATTTTTACAAAGAAACTCAGGTTTGCCATGCTAGCTAATCTTCCTTTTATTGGTCACAAAATAAAATCAACACAAGAACCCTCAAAAGTAGTTACAATACAAGCATCAAACAACACGTCTGTGAGAAATTTCCCATTCCAGTTTGAAACAAATGCTGTAGTTACTCGCATTTGACTGGCAGTTGTAAAGCACTATTTCCAGCTTCCATGCACCAGCTGAACCAATACCATAACTTCAGCACAATGAAGCATATTATTTCCAGCTTCCATGCACCAGCTGAACCAATACCATAACTTCAGCACAATGAAGCATATGAAGAACAAAACAGAAGCTAATAACTGAGGTAACAACCAACACAAGCAAACATGGGTTCGGGATCCTTCATAATCCTAAGCATCATCTTCAGCATCATTTAAAACAGCTCCTCTTACTTTGGACCTGCCAAATGAGATCCTGGTCATGAAAAGTAGCTATAGGCGATTAGTTAATAAAATTGATACTGTAGTAACCTGCGGTGAGCTGGTACAACACGTTTGGATCCTTTTCTTGAGCTTGGCTCCTGGGCAGCACGCTTATCTGCAATTACATGCATTATATTTCTCTAAAGCAAAAAATACGAAGAAAGTAGAAGTGAGTCGGCCTTCATCAACATGAACATTTTCTTTCTTAAAGAGATGATACCTGGAGAATCTTGCGAAACCATAACAGATGCTGAATCTGAAATTTCTCTGTCATTTATCTTCTGCGACTTGTACTTTGTTGAATGTAGTACCATGTCTAACTGCTTCTGGAGATCAGAATTCTTTTCCTGGAGAAGTAGGGTTTTACAAATTTTAAATTCAAATAGATAGCTGCTGCACCAGAAGAAGTCAAAAGAGTAGATGGAACAATTTGATCTAACCAAAAAGAAACATGGGTTTGCCTAACCAAAGGTATACACAACCATTGAAATTTGGAAATAGCATTTGCTACAACATGAACGAGTGCTATTGGCAAAATTGTTGGATCAAGCCCACACTAATCTTATGAAGAGTTCTTTGTTGCAACATGGTCCTAATCAGGTGATGAAATGGGAAGAAACGGCAGATAAAGTTGTTGTGGGCTGAACATTCAGTATTGTCCTATTGTCCTAGTGCCACTGAGTCGCATGAATCTATATTACATTGCATATGTAAGAATCACAACCACAAGAGAAAACTAGAAAGGAAATTAGAGGATCACACAAACTCGTTTTTTTAAACTCAAAATCTAACTCAAATTTAACTCAACCCAATCCTCCTCAATATTATTTATATAATTAAAGAATATCAATCAATCATCCTCACACATCACATCAACTTTAATGCAATATTCATCCACTCATATAATTTTAACTACTCATCACCTCCAATCATCTCTCTCCTACTTGTAAATCAAATCAACTTTAATCATTATATGTAAAATATTATTTCAATACAAACTCAAAATCGCACTCAAACCTAACTCAATCAACTTTTTCAAAATTTACTTTGGTTAACCAATAAATTCAACCAAAACCAAAATAACTTATATCCAACCACCCCCTAAGAATGTATCAAAGAAAAAGTAGGGAGACACTGAGAGCCAAGTTGTTATGCATCTAACTACAAGAATCCAATGACCATTATCACATAATAAACAAGACTTACTAAAGAGCAAGACTTAACAAGATTGAGTTCATAAATTAAAGCTTAAAGCACATTATGCCTAATTAACTGATCTCCAAAACTGCAAAACACAATCATTAAATTTTATGAAAAATATTAACCAGCAATTATTCACCAAATAAGCATAATACAAAAGATAAGCAGATCAAGTGTTTAGGCGGAATCATTAAATAATTTAACATCAGGGACAGGTTGGTCTACCCGTTCAGCAGCAACAACTTTTGTCAACTGATATTTGCACTCTTGCTCTGAAGACACAAACAAATAGATCAACAATGGAGAAAAATTTACAGAAATAACTGTCAGTGTATGTGTCTAGTAATAAGAACACATGCATCCGCATCCTTTCAATCCTACACCGCTGCTCAAGACTTTCTTGGATCGACTCTATTACATAAGTGGACTCCTAATCATATAATATCCAGAGTCCTGTCATAATTCTGTCATAGGAAGTACTGTTATTTATTAATCTAGACAGCAGGAAAACTAGTCTCTAAATCCAAAGTGTGTCTAAGTTCAGTGTTAGATGGATGCGGATCGTGTAACGGCATCTATTCACAAACTCGAGATGAAGATAACACTTGTTAGCAATTAATTCAATAGAATACCTTCAACAAGTAAACTCTTCACATCATTATACTCTTTGTATAGCTCAAGTGCTATGTAGGCCATTGCCTCACCCGAAGCACCATCGACAAGTTTACTGAGGGAAAAGGAGACTCGTGGCATTCCTTTCGCTTTTTGGGCAACCAATTTTGCATAATCAACACCTAAAACCAGAAATGACAGGAGACATGAAAATTTCATTTATTTCTACAAGCTGGAATTTAGATACTCATATGGCACAAATCTTCTAAATAGATCAATAATTAACTGCCAACGCAAGTAAACTTTAATTGCACATATTATGCCGACTTTACATTTTACAATTACTATAAATTAGTTGCATTGGAAGAGAAGTTGTCAGGAAGCAAGATTACAAATGTAGAGCATCTATCAATGCTGGAAGGAAAATAAGAATCAATCCACTCACAAAAAGTCACTAACTAAAACACGGTCAAACCATGCCGTTAACATTCCTATTTTGAAAAAGTAATTTGAAAAATAATGAAAATGAAACCTTGTATTGGTCATAAGTCATAACATAGGATTATTAGGAGGTCCCGTCTTTCCATTTCAATTACTCATATAGTGAACAGAACATCCTTAGTTATCATTGGACAAGCAAGGTTAGACGCATTGAATAACCTCCTGATTTTGAAGAACACTCCATAATAAGCTTCACATCTCCAGCTTTCAGGGAAGTAGTGACGTAGTCTATAAATTCAGACCAGGAGCCACAAAGATCAGTTAACTGAAAGCAGAACACAAGCGGCAGCATACTGAAGTTCGAATAAAAACAAATTTAAAGCATCTGAATCCAAAAGAAAAAATGTTTATCCAACCACCAGAATGATCTTGGTGCTATCACCAAATACTAATATCAAATTGCAGATATTTCCCAACACATAACATTTTCAAACCACCAATAGTTAGTGATATACTCATAACTTTCTATAAGTATAAAAAACTCCAACGTAATGCCTGTGTTGAACTACCAGATTTGTTTATTTTGCAAAATAGACACAAAAGAATTTCTATAAAGTTCATGTAGTGCAAAGTGGAAGCAAAGTAATTCTCCTGGTATACAGCTACCTAATCACAGTCTTCATGTCTCATAGAGTGGAATCGCTCAAAGCAAAGTGCTTTCAAAATATTCCTCAGTCCAATACAAGATTAGGCAATGGTACACTGCTTATTACCCTTCAATTAACCTAAACTACCTCCATCGAACATGCAGTACTTTCTTGCGTCTCCCATACATATTTCCCTAACCAATCAAAAAACCCACTGACAAAACGCAGTGCTCCTTCTGGATGTACCCCATGAATCATAATCATATGAGTAGAAAGGTAGCATTGAAAAAATATCTAATACATCAGAAAGCCAAAAAATGCTTTACATAGTCAAATAATTTAATTTCTTCACCAGTGGTACATAGCACTCAGGTCGTCCAGGGAGCTCACAAATGTCACGTTGTTTTTCCTTTTCCTTTTAATTTTTTCTTTTGTTTATAGATGGATTCCATAGGAAGTCTACAAATGACATCATACTGAAGAAGAGGGTAATACCCAGTCAAGAACAAGCAACTTCAATTCCATGAAGTTACTTAAGGTCTGATGACACTGAGAAGCAATTTTGAACTTCCATGTTCTATATTCCTTTCTCCTTCTACAGCGTATCAGTTTGACGAAAATCTATAACATGTGCAATTTACTTAATAATTTCATAAAAGGTCAAGCTATTGAGGATAGAATTATAATATCATTCGTGCAGGGCCTTCAGGCAAGATTTTTTATTTATTAGGGTCTCCAGACAGATGTAACTTCTAAAGGAACCCTTCAAGTTGTGATTCCCGTGTCAAGTGTTTGCAAATAGAGGATAGAAATTGATTGCCAAAAAGGAATTGTGGTACACAAGTTAAAAAGTGTTTTACTCAATATTGGAAGGAAAATTAGAAGCTGTAAACAAATCTAAAAGGAGAATCAGAAGAAGAAGCATGCTTTACAACAGAAAATTCGTATCATATTTTTCGATCTAAAACAAAGAAAGCTCTTTCCTATGTGACTGCAAACACTCCAAACGTTAAACGCACATGATCATGTCGAAAAAACAAAAAGAAGGAGAAGCGACATCAACCACCCCAGACGTTGTACAAGAACTGCAACACTTCAAATTCCAACACAAAAAAAAAGCATGATTTCAACGTAATACTTTACAATCGTTCGATCAGTAACTGGGAAAAAACGCGTGGGGTGGAGCGGACCATTCTGGGACAATTTTTCTGAATATTGAACACATGCTCATGATTCCTTTTCAATCGGTAGACAGATCTTAGAAATTCTTTCGCATTCCCAATTTCCTTTCTATGTTTCACCTCTATTTTGGATTCCCCCTTTTGGCTTTTGATACGGTAACTAGTGTGTGCCGCGCACCAGTAATCAATATTAAATAATACTCCTAATTATAAATTAAAAATAAGAGTAAATAATATTAAATAATAATTATATTATAAATTTAAAATATGTAAATATTAAATAATACTAATTATAAATTAAAAATAAGAGTAAATAATATTAAATAATAATTATAAATTTAAGATATGGACTACATGTAATATAATTTACAGTATATCAGTTTAATGTAACTGGCTTGAGTTCAAGTGAAAAGGATGTTTAGAGAAAGAAATAAAAATAAAACGTAGCTATTAACTACAACTAGTAATCAACATGTCCATTTACACAGAGACGAATACTTTAAAAACATAAATATATATAAAAAATTCATAATTTAATTCATGAAAAAAAATATGAATTAAGAAAATAATTCTCAAAATTGATTTTGATCAAGTAATTGTTGTGGAAGAGTCGTTACAACCATTTTCTTTATGCTAATACACCCGACCATTTTCATGAGTGGGTGTGACTTAAAGTTTGAGTAAAATTTTGTAACTCCTTTGATTGGTTTATGCTCATAATTTATGGCATTCAAGCAAGTTATTTTGTAACTTAAAAATAAAATTGAATGCTCAAAATTTTGGAGGGAGAATAAAATTTAATGCATGGTAATAAAATTAAATGCTTTATTGCACCTCTTGTGTTGTGTTTTGACCTCAG